CCAGACATCTGCCAACTGCAAGAATGGGGAAATTGGGACATTAGCCCACAATTCCCTAGACTAACTCCTTCGTGTCCTGGAGAGGAAAGCAAGTAAAGAAAATGACTGGAGCTTTAGCACAGACGTGGACTATCCATCCATCCATCCATTTTCTGTACACACTTCTTCCTTCTCAGGGTCGCGTGGGTTGCTGGTGCCCATATCCAGCAGTCACAGTGCGAGGGGCAGGGTACACCCTGGACAGGTCGCAAGTCCATCCACAGACGTGGACTATCCATCCATCCATCCATTTTCTGTACACACTTCTTCCTTCTCAGGGTCGCGTGGGTTGCTGGTGCCCATATCCAGCAGTCACAGTGCGAGGGGCAGGGTACACCCTGGACAGGTCGCAAGTCCATCCACAGACGTGGACTACTTGGCCTTAAAGACATGTTGAACAACAAAACATACGTATGTTTCTAACTCTGTCAGTCAGAGCTTTCTTACCCTTCAACTGAAGAAAGACTGTTTTTGTCTGCTGTCTCATGTGAGGGGAAGTGCGATGAAGGAGGCAACATGTCCACCAAGTGCAGCGACGCAGAGTAATGCAGCAACCGAGAAGCAGCTGCAGCTTCACCACAGTCTGTAGGTCCACCTGCACACACATCAGCATAACAGCAAAAATACTTAATGTTTAAATTCACAATGTTTCATTATAATCAATATAATTGATCATTATCTGATTTTCACACCACCTGCTGGAATTTACTGTAAATTTAGGTTGCTGTATAGTTTAATATGCAGATGTTATCTAATAAATCAATTTTCTTTTTCCCTGAGTGCAACTAGATGACGCGTGAAGAATAAAGAGATTTGTTGTACCGTGGTGTCCTGCTGGTGTGTGACTGAGTCTCTGTTTGCAGACCCTGAAGGGATAAGCCTGGCTCCTGGAGGACAGGACAGGGACGCTGTTCACTGCGTGTAACTCTGTAACAAAGTGGTCAAGTCTTCAGTGAGCCACATAACTTCAAACTTCACAGAATCATTTTCATTTTCAGAGCTCTCTAACATTTACCTTGTTTGCCATTCATCCTTTTTTCCCATGATTCCCTCAGAACGCCCATTTTAGGCTGAGGCCGTATGGCCTGTTTCCAGGGCAGAGCTTCGCTGCTGCTCAGCGATGAGGACTTGGAGGCAGGCTGAGAGAATATCTGGATGGTCTCACTTCCTTGCTGATAAGGGAACCCATGAAGAATTTTAGGACAATGTCCAGGACTGCTGAAAGTCTTCATCCCGTTGCTCATCAAGTCCATGTAAAATGTTCCATAAACACCACAATTGTCAGACACACTGGTGTCCTTCTGGGATGAGACCGGGAGGCCTGGTGACATTATCAACACAGAGAAGTTTATTCTGACATCAGCTACAGCAGACACCACTGAACCCTGCCTGAAACTGATGACTAGGGCTAAACATAAGATYTACATCAGCAGAAATGACACCAAATCACACCAACCAGAGGTCAATACATTTAATGTTKCTCTGACCTGCAACTTTACAGGAACAATAGCTGTGTTTCCATTGCAAATGTGTGCAAAACTTTGTCGATATTCTGTTAATGTCAGAAAAAACAGTTTCGTAATTGTGGCGTTTTCATTAAGTAAGAAAAGCTACTAAAGTCACGCGTGAAAACAATTGTTCTCACGATAAGTCATTACAAACATGGCGGCAATGGATGTAAACACATAGCATGTTGCTACCACGACACTAGCGCTCATCATCAGAGGAGACGTCGATGTCTTATCGAGGCTTTCAAGTGACAAGTCCCTACTTGGGAGCGGCTACATATGCTGTGTTTTTGGGAAAATGTAGTCTGTGAGTTTACTACTTTCTTTTACTACTTCGGTGATTTTACTACTACTTTTACTTCCTGTTATCTTCTTATTCTTCRTCTTTTCTCCAGTAGAAAAAGCCGGTTCTTGATCATGTGACTCCCATGATGCGAAAAAAGTGTTTCCGTTGCAGTTTTGCGAAATACATAAATTTCGATACGGCCGAAAACCCACCTCTTCCTAGCTCAAAACCATTTTGTCGAAAAAAGTTTTTTTTTTCGAAATTGACATGTTTCCATTGAGCAAATTTATTTTCAAAATTCTAATTTGCGCATTTTCATGATCAACGGAAACACAGCTACTGTGAGACCCCCTGCTTTTAAATGTGAGTTAATGCTAAAAGTGTCAACAGACTAGCAAAAGGCTAGCTAAATGTTAAAAGCAGTAAAAGCCTAACTAAAAGTGGTTGATTAGCAGAAGAGCTAATCATTTATTTATTTATTTATTTATAGAGACAATGTGTGCATATCATCTGCAGTCATTGGAGAAGAGCCAGGAAACTTCCTGGACAGGTCTCAGTCCATAGTGGTTACCGTAGTGAACACCAGAGGCGATTTCTCTAAGACTGCAAGGGAAGCTCAGCTTCCCCTAAAATGTAAAAAAAAAAAAAAAG